CGAGAAACGCCATGAGGCCCGAGCCCAGCGGAAACTAAATGGAGCCGGGTCCGCATCAGTCGAAGAGGCCGCGGCTGGAGCCGGAGCCCGAGCCCGAGCCCGAGCCCGAGCCCGAGCCCGAGGCCCGGGGGAGGGGGGGGCCGGGCCCTGAGGCCCGGGCCCGGCAGGACCGGGCCTATTTCCACTCGTACTCGGACGTGTCGATCCATGAGGAGATGATCGCGGACTCGGCGCGGACCGGCTGTTACCGCCGGGCCCTGCAGGGCGGCCTGCGGCCTGCGGCCGGGCCCGAGCCCCGGGCTCGAGTGAGCCTGCTGCAGGACCGCACGGTGCTGGACGTGGGCGCGGGCACGGGCATCCTGAGCGTCTTCTGCGCGCAGGCGGGGGCGGCGCGCGTGTACGCGGCGGAGGCGAGCGCGGTGATGGCGGAGCGCGCCCGCGAGGTAGTCGAGGCGAACGGGCTGAGCGGCCGCGTGCGGGTGCTGAGGGGCCGGGTGGAGGAGGCCGAGCTGCCGGAGAGGGTGGACGCCATCGTCAGCGAGTGGATGGGCTACGGCCTCATGTACGAGTCGATGCTCCGCAGCGTGCTGCACGCCCGGGACCGATGGCTCAAACCGGGCGGCCTGCTGTTCCCGTGCCGAGCCGAGCTCTACATCGCCCCGGTCAGTGACCCGGCCCTGCACGAGCGCCTCTCCTTCTGGGACGGAGTCAAGGAGCAGCACGGCGTCGACATGGCCTGCATGGCCGCCTTTGCCCGCCGCTGCCTCATGAACGACGAGATGGTGGTGAGCGCCCTGCACGGCGAAGACGTCCTGGCCCGGCCTACCATGTTCGCCGCTGTCGACCTCTACACCGTCACCGAGCAGCAGCTCGAGGAGCTGGGCGGCCTCTTCTCGGTCTCGGCCTTTGGCATCGCCACCATGCATGCCTTCGCCGTCTGGTTTTCCGTTATCTTCCCGACGTCCACCCCCACGGACCACACCGACCACGGGCCAAGTGGCCACCATGCCACCAGTGGCCACGACGATGGTCAATGCTCGACCAGTGGCCACGACGATGGTCAATGCTCGACCAGTGCCCATGACGATGGTCAATGCTCGACCAGTGGCCCCGACGATGGTCAACGCACGACCAGTGGCCCCGACGATGGTCAACGCTCGACCAGTGACCACGATAATTGTCAATGTTCAACCAGTGGCCCCGACGATGGTCAACGCTCGACCAGTGGCCATGACGATGGTCAACGCTCGACCAGTGACCACGATGATTGTCAACGCTCGACCAGTGGCCCCGATGATGGTCAACGCTCAACCAGTGGCCACGACGATGGTCAACGCTCGACCAGTGACCACGATAATTGTCAATGTTCAACCAGTGGCCCCGACGATGCACAACGTATGACCAGTGGTGGTGCTGATGGTCAGCATGCAACCAGTGGCCGTCCTTATGGCCATCAAGTGACCAATCCCCCTGCCGATAGTCAGTGTGCAACCAGTGCCAGCAATGATGGTCATCGTGCATCCACTGCCAAAGCCTTTACGTCCCGTGTAACCAGTGCCCACATCAGCAATGGAACTGTTGAGAGCCGCTTTGCCGTCACTGCCAATGGTGACAATCTCTGTGAATTTGATCTCAATAACGAAACTAACCCTGTTACATTTGATGCCAACACTGATGAATCTGAGCCAGTTGTTTTGTCGACCTCACCTTTCACAGAGGAAACTCATTGGAAACAGTCCTTGCTTTATCTGGACGAACCTGTCCAAGTGTTCCAGGATACTGTGATAAAGGGAAAAATAACTTTAACTCCAGCTGTAGATAATCCACGACATCTCCGGGTATCCTTGGTTTACGAGATTGGAGATAGTGGAAAGAAAACAAAAGTATTCAAAATGGGGGAGGATTTCTCTTCGTTTGAGTAACACTTTATTGCTGCTTGCACCCAAATGGACCCATCAGTGCCTGAACAGTTAAACCGTTTTGCTGTTTGTTTTCCAGTTGTTTTCCAAACCGATTCAGTTGTTCTTTGAATGACTCATTGTGAAAAAATTGCCTTAACTCAATGAACCCATGCAGAGAGCCAAAGAAAGGAATGGGCAAGTCAGGAAGAAATATACAACCCTAAAATGTCATTGACTTGCTGGATTGATGATTGTGGGACAAAAATAAATTAATTCAGAATGATTGCTGCTTTTGAGTTGCCATTCATGCATGTATACTTAAAAATTTTAATAACTTAATGAACAAACTTTGTTTGGTTTGTCACTCCAATGTAACCTGTATTTGAACTCTGTGAATTATTGCACTGGTGTTTCTCATGGTAAATAGCTAGTTGCCTACTCTGAGTTAGTGTTCATGCAAAGTAAATTGACTCTCACTTGAAACATATTCTGGCGCATTCATGCAGCCCAAGTGGTAACTAAACTAATTCCTGCTTTGTGTTGTTTTAGCTGATTGATGTCAGTGTTAGCCTCAGTATCCTTGAGAAAGGGAAAAGGGCCATGTTCTATTTAAAAAGAAAATAAGACACAAGTCACTGTTTTGGAAAATCCTACGTCAGTTGTATCACAGGGATTTTACTTGAAGCATCAACTTTTGATTTCAAATGCTGGCTAACTTGTGTTTTCGCAGTTTCTTTACTGGTTCATCACAAAGTACCATTGCAACTTTGTACCTTTGCAAACCCTTGCAGAAAATATTAATAGATCAATCAATTTTCAGTCACATACAGTTTTGAGCTTTCTGAAACTAATGATTCTTTTCTAAAATTGTTTGATTGAGCTCTGAACACTGTATCAACAATGAGATAAAAACAATACTAAACCTGTCCACGCTTGTGTACTGTGAAAGTGTTATGGGAGAGGTCTAAAACCCCAAGAGATGTGTTGTTACAGAACACTTACCATATCCAAATGGACATATAATATTTTATGTATCAAGCAGGCCAAAGAAGTATGTCGCACTGTTAGTGTTTTAAATTGTACCAAATTTGATATTTTGTTGAATTGTCTAAATGAACACTATTTATTTATAAAACATAACAAAGTGCTGTTTATTTTTCTTCATGCATACATGATTGTTTGGCTGTGTGTGCATATATTGCAATATACAGTGGATTGTGTTTGTATCACAGTATACAGTTGGCTATGTGTGTGTTTATTACTGTACATTAGACCATAAGTTATAGGAGCAGAAATAAGCCATACAACCCATCAAATCTGCTGCACCATTCGATCATATAGTTGGTTATGTATGAATTACAGTATACAGTTGCCTGTGTGTGTGCATTACAGTATAGTTGGCTGTCTTGTGTATATTTGAGTATCCATGTGGCTGTGTGTATTACAGCATATAGTTAGTTGTATCTATTATAGTATACAGTTGGCTGTATATTACAGTATATAGATGGCAGTGTAAATTAGTTTGTGTGCACATTACAGTGTACAGTTGACTGTACATTACAGTCTATATGTAGATTACAGTATACATGTGGCTGTGTATATTACAGTATGTTGTTGGCTTACAGCATACAGTTGGGTGTGTGATATGTTATATAGTTGGCTATATATCTTACAGCATACAGTTGGTTGTGTATTACAGTATATAGCAGTCAGCATGTGTTTACTATAGTATTTAGTTGCTGTGTACATTACAGTATACAGATGACTGTGTATTACAGTGTGCATGAATATAAAGATATGTATATCACATGAAAGAATCCAAGGTATTATTCAAAAACAGGCAATTTTCTACAATTGCCCACTTTTCATCCTTGAAACAATACTAAGAAAAATGATTCACCTTACACTGTTTCTGAGAATTACTGCACATAAATATTATGATTCCCAAATAAGTGATTCCATTTCAAAAGTAATTGTTCACATTTTTCAGTGTTAGCACTCTTGCTGCTCAGCCAGACAGTTGTCAGTTTAAGCCCTATTCTAGGCAAATGAACTGGTCTTTTTCTATGCTGTTTGTGAGATATTACTGTACATGAATTGGTTGCTGCATTTTCCTATTTTGCAACAATGACTTTGTTTCAAAAGTACTAGATTGGTTATAAAGTACTTTGAATTGTATGCAATTCTGCTCACCACATTTACAGGAAGGAGGGTGCTGCAGATTGTGCTGGTGAGAGTGCAGAGCTAATTTACAAGGATACAGCTGATGCGCTACAATTGCAGAATGTGGGAACTTGGGGATTCTGGTCTAATCCAGGGTGCACACACTTGCAGTAAGCACTGGAGGCTGCAGGAACTTTGGCTGAGAATCACTGAGTTGCAGACACTATGGCAAATTAGGGAAAGAGAAATTTATCTGGACACTTTATTCCCAGAGGCAGTCACATCCCTTAGGATGAGCACTTCTGACTGGAACAGTGGTCAGAGACAGGAGAGAATGACTGCAAGTGAGGAATAAACGGGATCCGAAAAGCAGGAGCCTCAACCTTTACAATTGTCCATGTTTCTCAGCCTGTTTGGTTGAGACTGGGGATCTCAGGGTGGATGAGATAACTGGCCATGGCACCGTGATACATGAAGCTATTCAAGTGGTAGAGGAAGAAGGAATGTAATGATTAAAGAGGACAATATAATGAGAGGGATTGATACTTCTATGCAGCAAAGAACAAGTGTATAGATGGCTATGTTGTGTGCTTAGTACCAGAGTCTAGGATATCTGTACAGGCTGAAGAGCTTGCAATGGGAAGGGCAGGATGGAGTCATCGTGGTCCACATCAGTATCAAAAACATAGATTGAACTAGATGTTCTGCTGAAGGCATATGATAAGTTAGGTGCTAAACTAAAGAATGAAAGTTCTCTGGATTGCTAACTGAGCCACATTGGTTAAGGACAAATAAAATTCGAGAGGTAAATGCGTGGCTCAAGACTGGTGTGGGTGAAATACCTTCCAACTTATGGGGCATGCATCAGTCTGGGGAAGTTGGGGTTTGTACCATTGCTGTAGTCTTCTCCTGAGCCATGCTGGGACTTGTGTTCTCACAAGGCACATAACTAGGGAACTAAGGAGGGCTTGAAACTAAATGGCGGAGGGATTGGTGGTCTGAGGTGGGGAGTAAGAGGGAGAGATCAAGCAGCTTTGGTAATTGAAGAATGGCACAAAGAACAGAGAAAATACAAAGAATGTACCAGTAGTCAGGACTGAATGCTACAAAGATTTTTAAAAAATCTAAATGCTCTGCGTCTGACTTCACATAGCATTTGAAACAAAGTAAATGAATTGATTGCACACATTGAATTGAATAAGGATGATCTGATAGCCATTATGGAAATTTGGATGCAGGATGACAAGGCTTGGGTTCTCAATATTGAGAGACATGATATTCAAGAAGAATAGGAACCTAGGTAATGGCTGGGGTAACTCTGTTACTCAAGGATGGCACTGGTGTAATAGAGATGATCTTGGTTCAAGAGATCAGCATTTAGAGTCAGTTTGGAGAAAATCAGGAATCGTAAGGAAAATTAGTCACTTCATTTCAACAAAGGACGGAGGCAGAAAACAGGAAACTATAGGCCGGTTAGCTTGATGCCTAAATAAAGGAGTGGTCTACACGCCCTCTAACAGTAATCACAATGTGGGACAAAGCGTGCAAGAAATATCGATAGCCTGTGATAAGGGCCAGCAATAATTATGGGTGACTTTAATGTATATATAAGCTGGAAACGTCAGCTTGGAAGTTGTAGCCTGGTTGAGCAGTGCAGAGAATGCTTTCAAAATAATTTCTTAGAGCAGCACATACTTTAACAAACAAGAGGGCATGCTATGCCTGGCCTGGTATTGTGCTTTTTGATGAGATTGATGAATAATGTCAGAGTAAAGGCACCCGTAGGTAGCAGTGATCATAATGTGATTGAATTTGACTTCCAGTTTGAAAGCAACAAGCATGTGTCCAAGACTGGTGTTGTAAACTCAAAAAATGGCAACTATGAGGCCATGAAAGCTGAGCTAGCTGAAATGAGTGGGGATATTGTGCTAGGGAGTAGATTGAATGGGGTGTTTCAGAATACCTAGAATAAATATATTCCTACGATCAAGGATAAAATCCAACTTGACAACCCACCCTTTGCAGTTAACTTGAGAGCATTGAACTGAAGGAAAAAGGGATTGGTTCTGGGTCATCTCGTTTGTCATTTATATAAATGATTTGGATGAGAATATAGAAGGCATGGTTAGTAAGTTTGCTGATGACACCAGAATTGATGGCATAGCGGACAGTGAAGAAGGTTTTCTAAGATTTACAAAGGGATCTTGATCAAATGGGTCAATGGGCTGAAAAATGGCAGATGGAGTTCAATCTGGATAAATGCGAGGTATTGCATTTTGGTACAACAAACAAGAGTAGGGCTTATACAATTAGTAATAGGGCCTTGGGTAGTGCTGTACAACAGAGGGATCTAGGGGTGCAGGTACTTCCTTTGAAGATTGCATCATACATAAATAGGGAGGACATAAAGGGATTTGGTATGCTTCCCTTCATTGCTGAGTCCTTTGAGTACAGGAGTTGGGATGTTATGTTGAGGTTGTACAGGGCGTTGGTGAGGCCTGTTCTGGAGTATCGTGTCCAATTCTGGTCACCCTGTTATAGGAAGGATATTAAGTTGGAGAGGGTATGGAAGGTTTGAGTTATGAAAAAAGGCTGGATAGGCTGGGACATTTTTCACTGGAGTGTAGGAGTTTGCAGGGTGACCTTATAGATGTTTATAAAATAATGAGGGGCATAGGTTGAGTTAATAGTAGTTTTCTTTTCCCTAGGATGGGGAATTTCAAGACTAGGGGACAAATTCTTAAGGTGAGAGGAGAAAGATTTTAAACAAAAATGAGCAAATTTTTTACACAGAGAGTGGTTCGTGTGTGGAATGAACTTCTGAAGAAGTGGTGGATGTGGGTACAGTTGCAACGTTTAAAAGACATTTGGATAAGTACATGAATAGGAAAGGTTTGGAGGGATATGAGCCAGGAGCAGGCAGGTGGGCCTAGTTTAGCTTGGGATTATGGTCGATATGGACTGGTTGGACCGAAGGGTCTGCTTCTGTGCTGTATGACTCTATGAAAAAGCATATAGTTGTACAAAGGAGAAAACAGGTCATATGATTAGTCAGAATACAAAGCAGGACAGAGAATGACAAACTCGTTAATCAGGGCAAATAAATTGGAACATGAGAGGAAATTGGTTAGAAATATAAAAACAGACATATCAGTAACTTAAAAAGAAAGCAAGTAAAGTAAGTGTTGGTCCTCTGAACGGTGAAAATGAGAAGCCAATTGTAGATATAATGAAATGAATAAATATTTTTGCTTCTTTCTTCACCATAGGGTAAAGTCACTATAGTCCTACTGGATCAGAGACCAGTGATGGTGTAACCTGAGGGCACCATGCCTCATGAGGGGAGAGGTTGAGAAGGAGAGTCCTTCTTTGTTCGCTCAGTAGGTGAATTGAACACATGCTGGTAGTATTACAAACCAGCTGTCCGGCCAACTGAGCTAACTGACCATTAACAATACCGCAAACATCCCAGTAATCCTTTAAATCTGGAGATTAAAGGAAAAGAGGAAATTGGTAACATTATAATCGACAAGGAAGGGGTGCTGAGCAAACTGATGGGGCTGTGAGTTAATAAGTCTCCAGGTGCAGAAGACCTCGTCCTGGGGTATTAAAATAGTCAGATAATGAGGTAGTAGATCATTAAGTGTTAATTTTCCAAAATTCATTAAATTCTGAAAGATTCTATTAGTAGTGGAAAGGAGTAAATATATTCCCTGTATTCAAGAAGGGAAGGGGCCAAAAACAGGACACTGTAGACCAGTTAGCTGAATGCCCAGGAAACTAAGCTGTTAGAATCAATCATTAAGGATGTGATAACTGGGCTCATGGAAAATGCAAGGTAACCAGGAAGACTTGGCATGTTTTTTTTATGAAAGGACAATAACATCTAACCAATTTATTTGAATTCTTTGAAGGAGTGACATGCAATGTGAATAAAAGGGGTCACATTGATATACTGCACTTAGATTGCTGCAAGAGATTTGACAAGGTT